CTGAGCTGATATCTTCTCAGGTGCAGAAAATACAAGGCGCTTTTCTGCTAGGAACAGCTACTGGCGTATGGCAGAAGTGGCTGGGATGTCACTGAGAAGGAGGGTGAAGCAGCTGGACAGGGACCCACGCTGAACCTCCGTGTGTCCCTAAGGTGCCCTCCACGTTCGGAGCAGGAAGAGCTATAGGCCACCCTGCAGAATACCGCAGGTCTTGCTTTGGCCTCCTTCTCTGAATAACAGAGGGGTCTAGAAGAAAGGAAGGTCTGTAATTTCCTAACCTCCCCTTGCTCATCTCCCTTAAGATGCTACTCATACTCTGCAACGCTTCTAAGGCTGTCCTTTTAAAATTTGCTTGTAAGAGCCAACTGCATCACTCTCCAGATTGCTTTTAGCCGTCTGTGTTGACAGTACTTAGCTGATTTCTAGTTCGAGCATTTTTGCACAGGCTGAGTTGAACCTGTAACAATGGGAGAACTCAGTGCCTGCTTTACATCTTGGCGTGTACGTTTTCACACCAGTCTGTTGGGCTGTCTGACACTGGGAGTTGAGGTTGAAGGATTTTTGAGGGTGGCAAAGCAGCTAATAGCCCAGTCAGCTCTGAAAATGTGAGACACCCTTCTATCATCCTAACAGGTAACTTGCATTCCCCCTTTGAATAAAAGTGGCCTGATGCCATGCATCCAGCCTCCTGGATTAACACAGACGCAGTGCTGTAAAGACAGCTCTCAAGCACCATGTTTCTTCTGCTCTGCTGCAAATCTCATGGACATGGCATTCTACCTTCTGTACTGTGCTAGCAAGCTGCAGTATGTGGCCAATATCCACCTGGACGGGAGGGAGCAATAGGATGAACGGCTTGCAGAACATGCCTGTGGCACTGAATAAGCGCTGCTTAGCATGTAACCCAAAGATTTGGAGCTCCCTTTAATGAGTAGAGACACAGGAACACCTCTTCCCTGACAAAGGTTCCACGTGATCCAAAATCGTCACCCTATGGGAGGTATAGGGCAATTCACCCCCTTCCCCTTGGGCTTTGGTGAGTGCGGTGCGCATAGGTTACAGGTGTGAAACTTTATTGTTGTTATTATTTTATTATTATTATTATTATTAGCCATCATATGGAGACTTGTCATGCTCTTAGGACAGATCATGGTGCCTCTGAACAGTTGAGGCTCGATGCTGGTACACCAGGCGTGTCAGCCCTGGCCGACTCGTCAGCCTCTGTCAGTCTGAACTGAATACCAGCACGCAAGGCTCGTCAGGTCTCTCCTGCTTCCAGAGCAGAAGCAGAGGCGTTCTCATTCCCACAGCCATGGAGCTTAGGGAAATCAAGTGTAGTCTCCAGTAACTGTAATAGGATATAAATACCCGTTATGATACCGGTCTGCTATAATGCTTATTTCTAAAACTCTAAGGTTTTTCATATAAAGGTGGGAAAAGGCTGCTGCTTTAGACATGTGTCCGTCAGGGCTATGAAGCCTGGTGGTCCTGTAGCTCCTTGAGGGCTACCGGTGGCTCTGTGGGCAGGGAAACGTGCTGCCACGCCGCGTGTCCACAAAGGGGCACGCGTGAGCCGCCGTGCTCTGGTGAGGCCCTGCTCGCCTTGCAGGAGAGGCCTTGTGTCTGCTTGGCCAGAGGGCTTGTGCATCCTCCATCTTCAAAGGACTTCCCTAAATGTGTTCTATCAGTGAGCTCTGCTCCGTCGGATCTAAAATGGCAGGTCAAGACTTGCTGGGCTTCCCTGTGCGGTCACGTTACAGGGCTGCCTGTCTACGTGTGGAGGTGCATTCAAGAAGCCGGGCTTGGTCAGATGGTGCCCCTGGGAAACAGCAAATGCTATTAGTACGTGAGCTTGTGGGGTGTCTGCTTGCACAGAGAGAGCTGGAAACAACAAGCTTTGGAGTGAAACAAGGGCTGGGAAATGGCAGTGGAAAATGTACGCTGTTTCTGTTTGGGCCATCTAATCCCCCCCTCCCTCTTCTTCAGGGATGGGGACCATTATGATGCTTTAAGGGACTGCTTGAAGGCCATATCCTTGAATCCATGCCACCTGAAGGCCCATTTCCGTCTTGCCCGCTGTCTCTTTGAACTCAAGTATGTGGCAGAAGCACTGGAGTGTCTGGATGACTTTAAAGGGAAGTTCCCAGAACAAGCACATAGCAGTGCCTGCGATGCACTAGACAGAGACATCAATGCAGCCCTCTTCTCCAAGAGCGATAACGGTGAGTGCCTGCGTTCGGTGTGGTTCTTCAAGGTTATACTAAAATCTAATGATCAGACAAGGAATTTTCTCCTTAAACTGCCCCTGTGAAGTAAAGCTCCAACTTCTGAGAGAGATTGATTGTTACCGTGCACAAAAAACTGGCCTGAGCCTGTTCTTTGCTTGCGCCTGGTCCTGGTTTGCTCTCGAGCGAGAGTATGATTAAAGGGGTCTGATGTACCCAGGAGATAATCTGGAAGGAATCTTGTGCTCTAAGCCCTGCTCCCTGCTGGAATTGTCCTTAACTCTTCTCTAAAGCTGTTGGGGTCTCAGAGAGTGCTGTTTGCTTACAACACATTCCTCCCCAAAACGTGACGAGGGAAATCTGTTGTCTTTCCAGCTGAAGACAAGAAAGGGGGTGGCCCCATCCGGCTGCGAGCCACAGGCCGCAAGGATTCCATCTCAGAGGATGAGATGGTGCTGAGGGAGCGCAGCTATGACTACAAATTCCGATATTGTGGCCACTGTAACACTACTACAGACATCAAAGAGGCCAATTTCTTTGGCAGGTATGTTGGCAGAGCATAATAGGGATGCAGGACAGGAGTGTGAGCAGCAGCAGGATGCTCTCTTCCATCGGATAAAGCCTCATGCGTAGCCCCATGTGACTGTTCATAAAATGACGCTGATGCTGGTTTGCAGGGTTGAAAAAGATGACAGAAACCCTCCTCTTTGTGTGGCTGCATGAATAGCTGGTTCAGTAGCAGATCCACAGAGGACCCGGTTGGGCTAGCATTTCAGAAAAGCCATTTGGGATTGAAAACATGAATCCTGGGGATGGAGGGAACCAACACAGAAAGCTTTATCTGGATCCCTAAGCGCGAGGGGTGGCAGCCTGCTGATTATAGAAGCCAACTGAGATCCTCATGTCTGCTAGAGACTAGCTTTGACTCTGAGCTATGATCTCCAGTCTCTGCTCCTCTCACCCTAGCAATGCACAGTACATAGTCAGTGGGTCAGATGACGGCTCCTTCTTCATCTGGGAGAAAGAAACCACCAACCTTGTTAGAGTGCTGCAGGGAGACGAGTCGATTGTGAATTGTCTCCAGCCTCATCCCAGTTACTGCTTCCTGGCCACCAGCGGCATTGACCCAGTTGTACGGCTGTGGAACCCTAGGCCGGAGGTAAGAGCCACAGTAACAGGCTGCGGTGTTGTCATGAGATGTAACACGTACCGGTCTTTCCTACTGGGATCTCTTGATAGTTGCAGCAGCAGTAACAGCCCCTCTTTGGTCCTAGCGCTGCCTTGCTGAATTCTCTCCCTTCTTGTCTTGCAGAGTGAAACCCTTAATGGCCGTGTGGTAGTGGACATGGAAGGTGCTTCCCAAGCTAACCAGAGACGAATGAATGCAGACCCACTGGAGGTGATGTTGCTGAACATGGGGTACCGGATTACAGGACTGACCAGTGGTGGGGCTGGAGGCTCAGATGATGAAGACAGCTCAGAGGGGCAAGTCCAGTGCCGGCCCAGCTAAAACAGAACTGCCTCTCCTTCCTCTAATTGTTTGGCTGAAAGGGAACCTAGTTTCCTTGGTCCTGAACTTTCTCTGATGAATGACTGCACTGTTTCGCACTATGCACAGAGTAGGACAAGCTGGCAGGGGCAGGAGCAGCCGTCTCTTTAAACCATCGCCACCACCTCCTCCTCCTCCCGTCACGCTACTGAGCAGCATGGCAGTGCAGTCCGGGGTTTGCCTTTAGTGGAATTTAGTCCCAACAGGGGTCTTTGAGTTGTCTGTAAGCAGTGTAAGCTGGTGATTTTTTTTCCAGGGCTGCTGTATGATCTGGTACAGGGGGATGTTGCCTGCATTCATGCATTTGCAGAGGGGATGTTAAATTCCTGAATAAAATACAAACCTAGGGCAGGGGTTATGGAATGAATTTACTGCAGTGAGCTTGGTCTTGAAAGCTTGACTCTGCTTTTGTGCTACCAGCCTGTCCAGAGGCCCCTGGTTTAGGGTTGTTGGCCGTGAAACACCTGTTTTGTCCCATAGCATCTTTCTTCTGGCTTCCATCTCTAACACGTTGTCACCAGATGTAGCTGTGTCATATTAAGGACTGGATATTGCCTGTCTTGTCCCTGGGCATCCGTCTTAGTTGGTGAATCAGTGAAGGCACTGAGTGTGTGCAGCTCAACAGGGCAGGATGTGCTTGCCCAGCTCTGATACTTTCTTCTGCGGTCCGTGAACCCGCGGAGAAAGGTGACAGCAACGGGAGCAGGTTTCATCAGAGGCCTAGGACTCGCGTAGCTAAAGCTACTGAGGAAAGGGGCTGGTAACAGCACTCTTCTAGAGCTTCTCTCTCCGTTGCCCAAAATGTGTGTAGCTGTATTCTCCTTCTCCTCTCCACGTCACCTCTGCTGGAGCTGAGAAGGTTGCCACCGTGTTTATGTCGCAACTAAAGTTTCGAGCTTTTAGACAGCAGCATTTTTGTGCAGTCAGCTGCTCTGTCTTGGCCAAGGTGGGCCTTCTCCACCTCGTGGTTGGTGTAACATCTGATGGATTAGCGGTCCTCTCAGGAACCCTCCTTCCTCTTCCCGCTCTCCACACGCTGACTCTGGCTGCAAAGCCAGGAGCGCGCCTAGAAATGCGGCACTGTACTTCCATTCCTCCCCTCTCATGCAACATGCAGCTCCGTTTTCCCCTCTTGCGGTTGCCAAACACTAAATATCAAATAGATCTTACACAGCTGTGCTGCAACTGAATCCGAAGAGGTTGTTTTTTCTAGGACTATCAACTAAGACCAAAGAGCCCCTGGAGATCTTAACTGCTCTGCGCTGTCTTGTATCTCTTACTGCTGAAGGTCTGAACATGCTAGCCTTGGTCCCAGGGGTGTGAGGTGTGTGTCTGGGAGTGTGTGCGCATGTGTGTATGCTGCATTAGGGCCGTTCTTCCATGGGGTGCGATCCCTGGTCTTCCTGTTCCTGCTGTGGAAAGATGAGAGGCCTCCCTTTCCTTCTTGGGCTGCCAGGCGTTGATGAGAGGGGCTGTCAAGGTAACTGGCTTCCTCTCCCTTCCAGAACAGTCGTTACGAGTTGAGTGAGCCCTGTGCAGGAGGGAGGGAGGTCACAGAGGCTCGTAGCATCTCTCCAAGGACGCGGTTCCCTGCAGAGAGAGATCCCCCGCGCCCCCCTTGCAATCGCAGCGGCGCTACCTGGGACCGGTCTCTGCCGCTCAGACAAAGATGTCCGTCTGCTCTGTCATGCGTGGGTGAAACCGAGCCTTAGCGAGCCCCGGTCTTGTGGGAGCGTGCCCCTCGCCGCCAGAAACGAGCGGCTGCCCTTGTGCTGCGCTGAGCTGCAATGGCAGACTCGCCCTCCATCTTCTCCTGCAGAAGCAGCGCTCTCCTGGGACAGATTGTCACTTGGCTGCCGAGGGCACGTTTGCTTGTTTTCACGCAGTGCCAGCACGGTAGATGTGACGGCTTGCTCAGTTTACCTGTTTGGTTGTGTACAAGCTCCCCTGCCCCAGGTGTCCCCCGGCTCTCAATGCTCTTCAAAACCCAGAGGCAACAGAAAATTCTTCTCACTTGGGTGGCTTTCTGACATGGTCTGGCCTTTCCTTTTTTTGCTTAAGGCTTTCCTACTAGACACATCCTCTTTTTTTCCCCCTTCTCCTCCCACTCAAACTTTTTTTCAGCTTTCAGTAGACAGTGTCTGCAGACTTTGATTTTTAAACTGAGAGACCGAGATGGAAAGCTCTGAAAAGAACAGACCTCTCCCTCCCCATTCACCTTTTGCTGTGGCAGCTATTTTTCGTTGTTTTTACCCTTGTGCGACAGCGCAGCTCTCTTACCTGCCGGTTGCAGTGTGAAAGCTACAAGATTCCCTGCCTCTGCAGTGGATTGCTTTTTTTAATGGCTGCTTTGGTTAAAAAAGATAAATAATAATGGGAGAGAAGGGGAGAGAAAAATCGTTCTGCCTCTAGCCCCTTTTCCCCTTGTCGTGAGCAGATTACCTGCTTTGTCGCTTGTTAATGAGGAATTTGTATTTATTGGTGAAGGAAAAAACATGCTGGGGAAGTAGGGAGAAGATGTTGCTTTATTGACCTCTGCTGTTTACTTCAACCCCCTCTTTGGGAAAGCTTCTTCCTGCTCTTTCTGGTTAACTCTTTCTAGCCTGGGATATGCAGGGATGCCTCCTTTATTTTTGTATTCTAGCAATGGGCTCTCCGTTAGGAGACTCTAGGATTCTCTTAGTGTTGCAATCACCATTGCTTCTCGCTTTTTCAAGTACTAAAGATGATCATCTCGTAAACTTTGCCCCTGCAGTTGTAGAGGTAACACACAAGCCTTACTGCCCTCATTAGAAGGAGCAGAAAACTTGTTTCTCTGGTCCCTGGAAGAGAAAGGGTTAAGCAATTAAACAGTTCTTTGTTCTAGTACTTTCTTGGTGTCATTTTGTTTGGGGGATTGTTCTGGCTTTGTTCTACCTTTCTCCTCTATGGAGGTGGACAGGGGTGGGCGGAGGGCGGCCAGCTGGGCTGGATGGTTCTGTGCTGCTTCATGGAGAGCAGCAGCCCCAGTAAACCTGAGTGGGAAGGGGGCTGGGGAGCCCCAGCCGTGGCTCATAGGCTGTGGTGGCTGCTGAGTTAATGCCAATGTTGGTTTATCCAGGTGTGGGAGCTCGGATCTGTTGGTGGAGCCAGGGCTGGGGCTCTGTTGGGGAGCAGAGCCCACCTCTGGCATGGTTTGGAGCTGAAGCTGCAGACGTTGGGGCAAGGGTGGGAATGGCTGCCTGGGGCTTGCCAGGAAAGAGAGGAGCCATGCACACGTCTTACGGAAAGATTAATGGTGCTGTGATGGAGTTAGTTTCTCTGAATCATGTTTTGTCAGGGTGGGGGGTAAAACTGATAAAATCCTCTTTGAGTCCGTGCTGAACCCAAGAGTCAGAGGTGAGCGGGTGGGGGGGCAAAAAGCTGCATAGGGAAACCAGCCCATCCTTGCCTCTTGGCTCTTCTTTAAATAGCCTCCTGCCCCGAGCAGCAGAGCCCCGGTGACTTGGGCTGTGGGGCAGGCCCAAGGCCGCCTGCCTGAGTCACCATGTTACTGACTGACCTGGGATGTTTCCGCTGTCAGAAACAACGCACTTATTGCCTTAAAGTGTCTCACACTCAGCGTGGTGTGTGGGACATCAACATTTAGACCCAGAGATGATCCCTTGCTAAGGATATCACAAACTCTCTTTCTCCTCTGGGCTCGTGCTACAAAACCTCCCAAATATTTTCCTGCCCTCCAAGCTGCAGAACGCCAGGCCTTAAGTAAGCGTTAGAAAACAGTCTGCTATTTTCAGAATCCACTTGAACTTTTCTGTTAAAAATTCCTGTTGGACACCTTTCAGCTGAAGGCCTTTTGAGGCCTCTTCATTTCCAATCCTGTCTGATATAAATTATTGCTTTAAAAGGCAGCTCTGCTCTAACAAAGCAATGTGCATCCACAGCCGGAATTGGCAATCAACTAATTAGGTCAGATCTTGGACTGAATGGTTGGACAAAGAGGAAACGTGGAAGGGGAAGCTGAGTGGTAGAATCATGGGTGGAAATGGCTAGAAGGACCCAGAAAACGAGTTTTGTTTGTAATGTGGGTAAGGGAATTGGGTTGAGGAGGGAGAGGAGCGCTGTGCTCTGGGACATGGGGAGAGGAACAATCGCAGCCCTACTGATGAATTCGCTTTTCTCTGGTGTAACTGTTGGCAGTGCCAGGAACAAGTCTGCGAAGGGCTCAAGATGGCTCCCGCCTCTGAGCAAAATGGGAGCGGGATGTCAGAAAACTGCCCGCTGTTGGTGCAGTGAGGAGTCCAGTCCTCTGCCTGATACGCTCCTTGTGGCTTGTTCAGGCCTTGCTGCTGCAGGAGCTGAGACTGATCGGGAGCCTCTGCGGGGCTGGCAAGGAGCGAAGGTGGGCCTTTTTGTGGATTTCATAGCTGAGAAATCATCGTGACCTGCACTTGGCTCTTTGAGCTCTTTCACCTTGTGCCCCTTGTCCCTGAGAAACTGGTGGCTTTCCTTTTAAAGATAAAAGTTGCCCTGTGGATTGACTCTGTCAACTGGAGAGGGAGACAGGAGGAAACTGAGCTTTCAAGTGACAGGGAAGCAGAAAAGACCTGAAGGTTAAAGCTGAGGGGTGAGATGGCTTAGGGGCATTGCTTTTGGGGTGGGTGGCTGAGCCTGTGTATGTTCTTGCGCTCGTGAGTAGCACCATCATCAATACAGCTGAGTGACGTTTCTGGTTCACACTGAGCGATTAGAGGCTGTCAGATTGCAGCAGGCACAGACCACAGGAAAGGAACAACAAAAACGCAAAGCAACCCACCCCAGCATCACCTCCAGGGCGGGGGAAGGACACCTTGGTGTCCTCCATCAGCCTGCGCCTCGGTGACATTTTAAATAGGCTCCTGCACGCGGTGTTGCCTGCTGCTGCCTCGGTTGTCAATGTCAGAAGGGGGAGGGGATCTCTTCCTTGAGTGGTTTGGTTCTGGCAGTCCCTGTAATGTTTGAGCTGTCACAACAGGGAAGGTTCCCAAGGAAGCCGCTTACTGAACAGGAGCTGGCTGGGTGCCTGCTTCTTTCAGGCTCAGAGATGAGCCAGGGTAGAAAGGGGAGGTAACCGAATCCCTTCCAGGCTGAGCTTCAGCTGTAGCCATGGTGGCGTGCGCTTGGACAAACCCAGACCCGTGTGCAGTCTGGGCTTGTTCGTTCCCGGAGCAGACGGGCTTGCCTCTGGGAAGGGCTCCCACATCTCCGGGGTGCGAGCAACGCGCTGGCACCTGCAGCGAGCAGGCAAAGGTCCTTGTCCTGAGGACGTCTTGGGCCGATGGGAGGTAGAGCTGCTTCCTTGCTGACGACAGGAGAGAGGAGCCATCGGTAGCAAGGCGCTGGCAGAAGTGGGAGTGAAACCTTTTGTTTCTCGTCAAATGAGAGATTGCAAAAACAATGATGGCAGTATGCCTGCTCCGTACATCGATCCAGTATTGTAGTCAGGCAAAATAGCTGCAATAAAAAGCCCGGCCTTTAATTTTATGCATGGAGAACTTCTTACCTGCTCTCCCCCCCTGGTTCCCCCCCGCAGTTTCTTTTCCAACTGCAGCTATTTCTCCCTGCTGACTTCAGGTGTTTTGTATTCTGCTTAGATCAATAGCAGTAGAACAGCAGCAGCTTCCCAGTTGTCACTAGGAAGACCCTGCTGTCAGCTACAGCTCACCCGTTTTCTGCCAGTGCGGTACTGGGGATGGAGAGCCCTTCTGCTTGCCTGACAAACACAAAAGAAAGCTGTGCCGTACAGGAGTGCTGTATTGATTTTTTTTTTTTAATTTTTTTTTTTTTTTAAATCCAGGGAAACTGGGCTTCTGCCATTTCTACGGCTTGACTTGTACGGCCTCTTTGTAAGAATTGAAAACAGTCTCCCACAAACACAGGAATGGGCAAATGGTTTAAAAGAATTTTCAGGGCTGTCTGAAACACCCCTGCCCACGAGGGAGGGGAGGGTGTGAGGCAGCACTGCAGGGAGCCGCGTCCTGCTGAGACTGGCGGCGGGGGCCTTGCTGCCCGGCTGTGCCAAGGGAGCTGGTCCCTGGTGATATGCTGCTTAGCAGCCTCCGAGACACAAGCAGGAAGAGCAAATCCATTGCCTAATCCCACATACGCGCCAGGACCACATTAGCTGATGTGAACATTGGCCCCTATTCATGATTTTAACAATCTCTGATACTTATGTTCACCTGGAGCAAATCAATGCAAGTATTTTTCTTCACTGAACAAAAAGTGTTCACTGAAACACATACAACCTTTGTGTGCATCTTCCATCCGAAGTGCCAAAATAGGAAATGTCTGTTAGAAACCAAAGCGCCAGGCATGGCTTTGCTCTCAAGGGTGTCTGTGTTTCCTCAGCTTTCTCTCTTTTGGAGCTGGGCTATTTTGTGAAATCCCTCACCACCAGATGCCAAGGAGCACGGTCTCAGGCTCCTGATCGGTGACAGGTCACGCTGAGACGATGCCCGTGCTGCAGCTCGAGGTGAAGCGAGCACCTCAGTGGATGGCTCTGCATCCATCCAGCTGCCTCTGGAGCAGGGGCAGCCCTAAACAAGGGTCTAGACTAGGAAATAAGGCGGGATGTTAGATGATCTCTCAAGGGCTCGGTAGAGGCGAGGGGATGTAGTCTGCAGTGCGTTACTAAGCTAGTTGAGTCAAAGCCTGAGTACTCGTTAGGGTGTATCGCGGGCAGGTAGGCCACCTCTATGCTAGACTGTTAGCCAATGCTTTCTACTGCCATACCAGCAACTCCAAACTGGTGTCCCCTCTGACGTGCCTCTGCTGTGGGTAGAGGTTACTGATCTCCTGGGCTTTCAAGCTGGAAGCTTCGCTAGTCTAAAATTCAGTGAGCGTGTTAAGTGCTGTTCTGTCCCCGGAACAGAGAATATGTTGATAAATGTGGAAGGTTGGACTCAGCTTAATTACTGAGCAAAGTCGGGTAATGGAAAGCAGAACGCATAAAGTAGAGATAACAAAAGACTTTGACGAAGGAGAGAAATCTCAGTAAAAAGTGGGGCCGTTATGTGGAAGCTGTAAGTTTGTGATGAGCGTTGGGAACGTGGCTCTGGCAATTAAGAGGGTTTGCTAATAACAAAAGCCAGCGGCTTCTGTGAGCAGAGCGCTTGCTCTGCATTGCCTCTGCTCGGCGTGCAGGAGCTGCCAGGGGGGAGGAACCCAACCGCGTGCAGTTTTATGAGACTGTTTTATTAGCAAAACCCCTTGGCGTCGTGCTGCGTGACACCACAAACTGTGCTGGAGAGCCGATAACCACGGGCCTTGGAGGGAAACGCAGCTCAAGGTCTCTGCGAGGAGGCAATGAGCGGCTTCCGAGGAGAGCACGGAAGGATGCGAAGAGGAGAGCGGGGCCGGACGCTGGGCAGCTCCCCCGCACCCGCTGGGCAGAACACCCCCACCCCGGGCCGCGGGGCTGGGGCAAGCGTCGCCCCCTCTTCTTCCCTCTCGTTCAGCGAGTTGTCACTCTGTTTTGCTGAGTGTGTTGTGGTGGGTGGAAATCTGGAATAAAGATATTTCTTCTTCAGCTTTCTCGTGTAGTTTGAATTAAACTTCCTAATAAAGCAATTGTTATTTTTCTAATCCGATTCTCCATTTGTAAATGCTGTTCCACCCCTTGCAGTGCCTTGACCGCCTCCTCTCTCACGGGAGGCTTGCTGTGAGCTTTCCTGAGGTGGTCTTCCCCCGACAGCTCCTGGGATCGCCCTTCCAGCTTCCGACCTGCGGGAGGGCGACAGGGAGGCGTTTGCTGCTGCGGTTCCTGTGGCAGATCCGCGCAAGGTAGGTGCGAGGGCCCACGGCAGCTGCCCGCAGGGGCCTCGCCCCAGCAGAAGGCCCCGCTGTGACACCACCCCGGTCCCCCTGCGGCTTCAGCGGCAG